GGTTTTTAGGTCCTAAAAATCCGTTCCATGGTAAAAAGTAATTTTTGGCGAAAAAAAAAACCGACTTCAATTCTCATACAAAAAAAAAAAATACGTATATATATCTCATGAATTATCACATTTAAAATATTTCATAAAATTTGTTTACGTTTTTACCTATTTTTGATCGCTCACACCCCCAAAAAAAAAATGCACCTTGCGCCGTGCAAAGGACTATCTTTATTTGCATTACAAAATTGTTGTTTTAGGAGAAAATGCAATATAGTAAAATTTAGGTAGGTAGTAATTTTTTGTAGTGCCTTTAAACCCCTTAACTCCTATCAAAATGCGGCCTTTGTCTCAGTCACGACAATCAACTATTCTAAATATTATTGCAAGCTGAGTTATTCCATAATGAATACATACCTGATTTGCACAAATAATCTCGTAGAACTGTAAGGTTAAACAGAGCCTCCATGCGAGGTTCCACACTGGAACTACTTCGTGACACCAAACACATATCAACATCTGAGGTGTCAGCACCAAAACCTGAAATTGTTGATCCGACCAGATACAGACCGAAACGCGGATAAGTGTTCTGTAAGTTAAAAAATACCTACAGTTTAGTTTGCCATTTTATCTAGCATGAAAAGTTATATAACTAAAAAAAATTTGCCGAAAAAATTAGTATGGCAGAAACCTGGACCTTAATTTTTGGTAATTTAAAAAATGAAAGATAAAATAAGCATAGACCGTCTATTAAATGATACTTTTCTGAAACGTTGTAATATATATGATACATAAGAGAACATGCAAAAAAGTAGCATTTACATATCATCGTTTACAGTACAAAACCGCGTATCGTCGTTCTGCACAGTGATGCCAAATTTCTGTACAGTAAATACTTAAGTTCAAAAATGTTTACGAATTTTTTATTCTAATACAAAAGTATTAAGTTGTTTATATTTTTGCAATTACCAAAAAATAATCTATTAAAGTAAAGTCGTTCAACACCAATTAGAATGTACTTTTGGACCCTAATGTTCCCAAAAAATAAAGTAAGAGGAATACCAAGGTAATCCAGAAAAGTCCCAAAGATATCAATTTCTGTAAATGCATACTAGTATGCCCATATACAAACATACATACATATAGGCCGTCTTCCTAAACGCACTAGGTTTGCGACTTGTCCGATGACACCAATCACCTCTTCCCCTGCCCACTTAAACCTACTCAGCTAATACCCTCTCATTCTGTTCAATCCAGTCGAACCAGCACGTTTCATGGGTCTATTGTTAGTTGAGCTTGACGACAACCATTATGTTTTAACCGATTTAACAGCGGCTTGGTAGTGAAGCTACAACAACTAACAACACTTGAGCATATAAACAATTATAGAATTTAGCATCTAAATATTTAAATTGTGTTCACTTTAGTATTTAGAGAATCCTAAATTTCTACGTTTTTTTGACTTTTGTAAGTACTTAGCATCCATTATAGCAAAACTAAATTGTGTCCATTACTAGCCTACTAGAGATTATATTAAAGCACACATGATGTGTCTTGGCCAAACAAGGGATATTTACCTTAACAATAATATAAAGGTAACGCCATAGACGCATCTTCTGTTTGAAAGTTTCCTCCGTTTGCTGTGAGTTAATAAATTTATTCCAAACGCCCTGCGATAGATTATCCCATTTAGAATTATTTAATAATGTGCTGGGTGCTTCTTTGGCTTCTACGAGATGTGCTCGTGCTAAAAAACGATCGGGTGGCGTGTGTGTGAAATAGTCATGAGGTGAATTTGCCGTGGAACGTATATGTGTTGGCGGGCCACCATAAAGTAGATTATGCTGTGGATATACATGTGAAATAGATGCTGGCGGTGGAGCAGCCATCTGATGATTTTGGGGGCCTTGCTGTTGACTACGCCCACCACTTCGTTGACGTAGGGAACCACCGCTATTTAAAGTGGCTACCATACCGCTTTGTGTTGCCTGTGTAGACTGCGGAAAACGATGGTGTTGCTGTGATTGTTGCGATATAATAGTGCCGCCCCCCATTTGTGGAGTGGAGCTGAAACAATTTAAAATAATTTTTGCACACATTAAAATCCAATGAAATTATATGCATATGGCCGATTCTAAAAAATACATTTTTGTAGCGCTTTTTTCAGGCTTATACATATCTTAAACAGAGCCCTTACTCGGTAGTTCGAAACGAAAAGTATTTCTATTCGAGCGCCAACTTCGATTCGAACATACATGCGTATGCTATAGTTCGTTCGGAATTATACGAAAAAGGTAAGCAACATGAGAACTTAAATAACGTTGTTAGAAAATAAATTATCAGGCCAAAGGGTGTTCAAAAAAAGCCTTAATTTTATTGTTTTTCTCCAATTATAAAAAACGAATGGAGCTACATTTAAATTGTTACATTTTCCTTTTCGACCATTGTGAGTTTGTGATAGGACAACACTGCTTTAAATGAATTTTTAATCTCTTTCAAAGATTATACTAAACACACTTGCTTTTCAACTACACCCTCTATTTAATACTTTGCTAAATCACTGCATAAAATTTATAATTCAAGTAGAACACAATTCTCCATTAGAAAGGAACAAAACGGGATTCGAACATCTAACGAAACCCTGCAGGAAATGTATCTAACTATAAGCTAACTTTAAGTTGTTTAGGAAGGAGCTAAAAGTCACTTATTATCTGTATAATTTTCTTTGACGAAAGCTAACGATATTTCTATGGTGATGGTTTCATGTTAGCTTTTTGTAGCTAACTACAAGTTATATAATTTATAGAAATCCCACAAGAAAGTTAACTACAAGTGGGTTATTTTTTATCACTTGATAATTTTTTTCTGCAGGGATACACTACACGAAAGGTTTTTTTCATAGTACCACTCGTTCGCATTCGAGCAAATTGACAATCGAATCGAACTACAGAGTAAGGGAAAAATCAGCGCTTCAGTGCAAAAATGTATTTGAACAGATCTTTTGGTATTAAATGTCATAGAGAGGGGATAGTGAATAGCATATAGTGATCCCGTAAAAATAATTTTCATTACGATATTGCTCAACACTCATAAAGACAAACTCTTATTTCATTGTAATTCTGGGGTGAGTTTTATTAACTTCAATTGCATGGTTTATAAAAGTAAGATTAAAAATGAAATGCAGTAAAACACCCCATACTCTTTTGCGAAATTATATTTTTTACTGGACTGTCTATCAATGTCGAGCAATATTTCAATTAATTAAAATTATAATTTTTTTTTTTAATTTTTAGTTCGGTTTGATATTAAAGCACAATTATTATTATTTTTTAATTATAATTTAATACACATATGTATGTATGTACGTATATTAGATTTTTACACACCTGCGCTTCAAATGGCTTGCTGATGCTGTCACCTCATTCTGGTTTACGATATTAACCGGTTGCTGTTGGTGGTGTAAATGATGAAAATGGAGATGATTATGATCGTCGTGTTCACTTATGCTCGGAGATGATATTACTTTTGGAGTGGGGCATGGACCAGACGAAATCAAACTTCCAGGTGGGGGGTATAAAAAACTAGAGTGGTGCAAAGGACTATAGTATCCGCCATTCCCCACATGAACTGATAGTGAAGTAGAATTCAAATGCTCTCCGGGTGCAAAGTAGAAATGGCGTTGCTGATGATGAAGTGGCGGCGGTTGTTGTTGTTTAATCGAATTCAAATCATCGTCCGTATGATTATTGTTCAATGGTATATTAAACAATGATATGAATCCATTTCTATGGAAGGGCGATTGTTGTTGAGGCGATGCTAACGTTTGTGATTGCGCCGTGTAATGCTGCGAAGATGTAACGAAAGTTGGATTATAAAATAAATCTGATGGCTCCGGGCTATGCAAATGCTGCACGTCAACCACAGACATAGTTTGTTGCGAAACATTGAAGTTTGCTGCCAACGACGAAGAGTTTGAAGACGCTGAAGATGATGACGAACGTGACACAGATTTAACTTGGTTATACTTATTGCGACTTTGTGAAAATGCCACTGAATTAGTTGATGAAGAGTCAGAATCTTCACAATCGTGTTCGTGCGAACCAGCGACGCTAAGCGTCGGTTGAACAGAATCGCAAGATGTGCCGGAATCCGTGTGTTGTGTATAGCACACCATATTTCCTACGGTAATCGGAGATGCTGATTTCGATGATGAATGCGCGGCAGACACATTCATGATAAAAGGCGTCACCAGGCTCTTGTCATGCACAAAGCTTTGTTGGTGCTGCTGAGACTGATAGTGGCTAGGAGCGCAGGAAAGAATCATCGATGAGGAGACCTCTTGAGGTTGTGAACCAGGAGTATCAGATTGAAGTGCTGGCAATGAAGGACTACAACTACTCGTTGGGACAGTTGTGCTCATGCCGACATTTGGAAACGATGAAAGCCCTTCAGTATTGACGTAGGTTAGATTGTAAATGTTTTGATGAGGCTGCTGAGAAGTTGATGATTGCGATACTCCTATTGCTGACGAGTATTGCTGAGAGCTGTGTTGTTGTTGGTTATGATAATTAAATTGCTGCAGTCTATGATTACCACGATGTGATGACGCATTTATTTTTCCAGGTAGTGTTTCAATAGCTAAATTCATTTGGGTGCTGGATTTTACTTTCTGCTGGCGATAAGATGTAGTTGATGCTTGCGATGAATTGGATGACGTTGAAGACGTTGACGAAGAGCATGAAGAAGTTGCGTTGGATACACGATTCGGTTTTTTAGTACCTAATAATTTGTGTTGCAACTGCTTGCAAGCACGCATATTGTTACATACAGCACTATTTGAGCTACTTTCGATACTAACATCTATACTGTCGACACCACCCTGCCCTACTGTACTATCTGGCTCCTCGAGATTACTGCGATTCTCAATGGCGTGCAGTTGGTAAGAATTCGAAGTGGCATCGCCGTGGATGCGCTGGTTTTGATGCATATGTGGCTTAGAGCAGTGCAAGTGATTACCACTTCCATTTCGAGTTATTCGTGAAATTCCCTCATTTCCCACTTCGCTGTGATAGGAGGAACCCATCGTTTGATAACAATGTTGTACTGCCGGCACACGTTGCTGCTGTGATTGTGGCTGTTGATAACGGGATGCATAGTAGCTATGACGCTGATGGCTGCGATAGTTGCCATTGGTATTACTATCAACACCGCTACTGTCCCCACTTCCATTGGCAGTATTATTCACATTGTTTCCACCTCTGCTATTGCCGCCATAGAAGTTTTCGTTTAGAAGTTCTTTTTGAATAAATGAGGCTATTGTCAGCTGCTGTGGATGATGGTGATGCTGCTGAAAACGATGTACGCGTTGGTCTCTTGTATGATGAGCGCCAGCAGTACAGTTGTTACTACTAATTCCAACCCCCCCACTACTGACCATATAGCGTGCATGATGTGTATGCGATCTTTGGGGCAAAACATTTTGGTAAGAGTATGCGTTACGCACTGGCGACATAACGACTGTGTCTTGACTATTGGACATTGTGTTAGTACGCATGTTACTCGTATTCGTATTTTTGCCAAGCGCTGATAAATTTGCGCCACCTGTCATTTGTACCCCCACTGAATGCAGGAAATCTAGTGAATAGGAATTGGGCGACGTTGGCACTGGCACCGGTGTTGATGTCGTCGATGGATTAGATGACGTTGTCAAAGTAGCTGTTAAAGAAGAGGTTTCACACGAGGTTGTAGACGTGACTGTTGATGTGGATGTCGTTTCTGAAGATACCGACGGTGTTGCTAGTTCTTTCTTGATATCAACTTCATTTGTTAATGTCGACAAAGGAGATGCAGCTGTTAATATCACGGCATGTCTTGTGGATTCCACGGAGGTGCTGGTTTCGTTCTCTGCGGTGATTGTTTTTACTGTAGAATCAACTGTAGTGGTCGTTGCTGCTGTGGTTGATGTTGTTTTCGCTGCCAAAGCAGTGGTCATTTCTGTCTCATTCGCCCTCGGATATTCAGCTGAGTATGGATTTTTTTGACTTCCAGCAGTTAAGTACTCCTCATCAGCAATACATACAGAAGAGTACTAATAAATTACAAAAGTTTAATACTAGAGCATCTATATGCATTTCTTCATGAAAAAAAAAAATCCGAAAAAATATCGCAAACGTTTTTTAGGGGGGTTTGGACTGGATTTTTTAAAACTAGAGATCGCATATAAAAGTCAATGAGAAAAAAATATGTTTTTCTACTTGGCTTGCATTTGGTGTTAGGGGGAAACGGTTTCTCATTGTGTGACTTATTTACATAAAGCCGGGCCCAGGGTCGAACCCTTGTCCGGACCATGGCCAAAAATTATAGATTTTTGTTATTTTTATTATATTTCATTTATTCGGAAAAATATACATACATTCGCAGGTTTGTAAAATCATGAAAAGTGTCAAGCGATCACTGGTTGACGTTTTACAGGAAAAATGCTTTATTTGTTCCTGTACATTTTGTTGTTACTCACTATTTACTGTCACTTCAGAGAGAAATTTTGCTGTTTGACATTTTTACAGGATTTTACACGAAAAGTATAGGATCAGAGCTGAAAATACTTTTATTGGGTAACTTCTGCGCATAAACAACCGATTTATCAGCTGTTTATGAAACTTTAAAAATATTACAGGTTTTGCATTTACATACTTTCTTGGATATTTTTTCTATTAGTGAATTCTCAGAAATTGAGTTACTGGTGAGTTCCTGGCAAGTTAATGGCTAATTTTTACATGAACAAACCTGTTGTCTGGCTTTACTTTTGTTATGCGAATACTCGGAAGTGAAACCCATTATTTGCAATCTCTGTTTAAAAACTTTGTAACACACATACGAACATATGTACGCACAATGCAATGGAAATATTTTAATTGGGCTTTTTATAAATTACCTTAGTATCTCCCAGATCATCTGCCGTTGTCTGTATGTTATAAGTTCTCCGTTTACGTTGCCCTTTTACATGTGGAGACGAACTGCGTCTGTCTGTGTTGTAACTCCTAGATGCGATGCTGGTTTTACCTTTTCGAAACGATTTTTTCTTTGTTGGGCAGGTGTGCGCTGTGGTATCTGTGTATTTAGCGTTGATATTTTGCAACAAATCCGAGTTACTTCCTGTCGGTGTCAATATTGACGACGACGCTGACGAAGAGTACGACGATGTGGAGCTAACGGAAGTACTTTTATGCCTACTTACATGTACCCAAGGCCAGGGTAACGATGCTTGTGATTCCGAAACCTGTGGAGTCACCAAATTCGCCCAACAACTATTACAATCAAGATTAATGCTTTTAATACTGCTAATACAATCGTGTTGATTGATAAGAGTGACGTCTGAAATTGGCTCAACAGCTTTTGGTGATGTTGACGGTGCGTGTTGCTTGAGCTGAGTTTTAGCTCTGTGCGAAGAAAGAGCAATCGAATTGTCAGCAGAGGACGCGTCGCAATTATTATTATTATTATTAGATGATGGTGTACAACTGCTGTTGGCATCTAATATTATGGTATTATTATTATTTACCAAATCTTCGACATTCATTAAACAGTTATCAACTTTAGCCACTTTTTGGTTTGGCAAAGGTGGTGCGATAAGATCTAGATAAATTGGGTTCGTTGAATCAGAATCTAAAAGACTTTTATTTTTTGTAGTGATATTTCTCTTATTATTCTTCTTATTATTCAAGAACGTGTGCTGTTGTTGACTATGGTGGTAACGATGCTGATAGAACTTCTTGCGATTTGAAAGTGATGTAGTTGGGATATTGTATAGCGTGTGTGAATGTGATTTTTTAACACTTTTGTTATTTAAATCACACTGTTTGGGTGTTTGTAGCGATTTAACGCTGTCGCTACTGTTATAACTGTTCCCTTTATAATACCTCATTTTTGGTGACTCGTTTTGTACAATATCCGTGTTCATTTTGGAAATAGATGAGTTGGTCTTTAAAAAATTGTTTTGATTTTGACTCTTAGAAGTTGTTGCATTTGTTAGTGTTATGATTTTCATGTTGCCTGCAACCATTTCAATCTGAACTGATATCAATTAAATAAGAAACTAAACAAAGCTAACTCATTCGGGTTTAAAACCAAAAAGCGAATGTATGTAAATTGTGAACGCCTATATTACGAATATCGCCCAGTTGCTGAGGGTTTCCTGAAATTTAAAAACCCATTTAGTAGGCGCACCTTTTTTAAGAGCTTAGCTTTTCATTTTGAGTATTTTTTTTATCGAAAACATCTCTATCTGAAACGAAATAATAATAAAAAGCGATCTGATATAAAAGTGGTAATTAAATAGATAGCGCTGGCGCACAAAAGAAAAAAAAGTTGTTCCAAGTTGCATTAATGCAAAGCATCAGCCTCTTTTATTTCTGAACTATAACTGATGGAAAAGTCCAATATGCGCAACCACGTTCAAATGCCGAATTGGAACTTAGTTGCACAAATTGGACATTTCCATCAAATTTGGCTTAGAAATAAAAGAGGCTGATGCTTTGCATTAATGCAACTTGGAACTCAGCCTACATTCAACTTTTCTTTTTTAAGCCAAAAGCTACTGGTAAGGCTTATATAGGTAAATAAATATGTATGTACATATTTTTTATTGCGTAAGCTTTTTTGCATATATAATAATTACATAGGCGCGTATTGATGGTCTAAGTCGTAGGTACCAATTTAAAATTCACTTCTATTCATAGTCGCATTTTAGACTTCTACTAAGTAGCTTTAACTAAGTTTTACGAGTGAGAAAATGCATCGATATATATTATATTTTTATTAAATAATCGGCCCTATTATGGTTGTCGACGTCGACGTCGATGTAATTTTTTCATCCAAAAATAGCCCACGTAAGTCCAACTCCAGCTACTCTGACCACAGTATTTCGCGAGGAACACCTTTACGAGGCTATTTCTGGATAAAAAAAATGACATCAACGTCGACATTGACAGCCATAATAGGGCCGAATATCAAGTTTGATCATCCGTTTATGTAATTTTTGCTTTCATTGTATGTTTATGCAAAAGAAGAAGGTAATTCTTTTCTTGTTAATTGTGTTAAATAGGCAGAACAACCACAGTGCTGCGAAGTCGATGTTTCTCGAAAGCATGCTTTGTAACATACAAACACATTTCTAAATGTTATACACTAATTTACTAAAAAGACAAGTTAAGTTATTAAGTTATCTAAATCAGCAGTCAGAGGGTTAATAAAAAAAAAATCGTTTATTATANTTTTAGACTTCTACTAAGTAGCTTTAACTAAGTTTTACGAGTGAGAAAATGCATCGATATATATTATATTTTTATTAAATAATCGGCCCTATTATGGTTGTCGACGTCGACGTCGATGTAATTTTTTCATCCAAAAATAGCCCACGTAAGTCCAACTCCAGCTACTCTGACCACAGTATTTCGCGAGGAACACCTTTACGAGGCTATTTCTGGATAAAAAAAATGACATCAACGTCGACATTGACAGCCATAATAGGGCCGAATATCAAGTTTGATCATCCGTTTATGTAATTTTTGCTTTCATTGTATGTTTATGCAAAAGAAGAAGGTAATTCTTTTCTTGTTAATTGTGTTAAATAGGCAGAACAACCACAGTGCTGCGATGTCGATGTTTCTCGAAAGCATGCTTTGTAACATACAAACACATTTCTAAATGTTATACACTAATTTACTAAAAAGACAAGTTAAGTTATTAAGTTATCTAAATCAGCAGTCAGAGGGTTAATAAAAAAAATCGTTTATTATAAAAAATATAAGTTTTCCATTATTATTTTTATTTTATACATATATTGATAATTAATATCGTCGATGAATTTGCGAAACCGCCCATCGACCAGTTGCAAAATGGCCTAAATCGCCGTTGTGGCAAAAATGAAATTTGGTAACCCTGAACTCCAGGCATCGAGATTTATGCATAAAAA